CATATTTTGCTCCAAGCTTTCTTTGTGGAAATTGTATGGGTTTGTTTTTTTTTTTTCTTTTAAAAAAAACCTGAATAGGAGACCAAGTGGTTTTAGAGCTAACCCAAAACACATCACCAGTCCTAATCAGCAACTGAAGGGATTCAGATGCAGTCCTCTGACTTCTCCAGCTCTCTCTTTCTGGGAGGTTACCTCCCTCAAAATGGCAGTTAAAAGGTTTTGCACAGCAGCTCATATTTAACTGTGTGCAACAGCATAAATACTGGCGAAAAATTATAAGCAACAACATCTGATTCACACTGAAGACCTTCTTTCCTCCCTGTTCCTCCTTAGCAATAGCTCCCTACAGCCATCAGTATTAATGCCCTTGTAAGCCATGACAGATCTGTGGTGGTTAAGCAATGTGAGAGGCAGGGAGAGGCTAGTACTGTTACTGTAATTATAGATAGCACGCTCAAGAGCACATTTGTTTTTTCCAGTTGTATCTATTGCTGAAGCAGCTGGTATTACCTTTCCCCATCATTTTGGCCTGCAGGATGCTTTTCTCTGGATTCTGACAGACCAGCATCTGTGGTTATACTTACTACTAGAGAAATGATGCTGGATCCTCATCTCAAGTAATTTTTTTCCCCTAGCTCCATTAACTCGAGTAGCTGGGGGAGCAGCTGAGGGTCTGCTCCAATATTTTGTGTGCCCTCCAGCACATGTACAACACCCCTGCCATAAAAGCAAGCAAGCAACACATCAAGCAGAACCACTAAGAAGCCAGATGTATCAGTTTCATGATGACTCAAGGACAGCAACCTAACACCAGACAGTCCCTGTATAAATCTATTTGCAAAGAGAGATTGCACCAAGTCCAAACATCTTGGCCATAATTTGCAGCCATCTGGGCCAGCAGGGGCTCTTCCTGCTCTGGTTAAAGACAGCAGCCAAATTGCCATTGCCTTTGCTGGAAACACCTGCAGAGCACAATAGCTGCGCCAATCTGCCAAGGGCAGCAAGGCAAGAACAGCAGCCCCATGTGAAACTGCAGCAGGGAATCTGATATGCATGAAACACAAACACCCGTGTGGAAAGGGAACAGATAAGAGGTCTCAGCAGCTGGGCTGGCAGACTAAGAGCTATCTCCAAACTGAAATACTCAAGAACAAATGGTAAAACTGGTGCAAGCAGTGTGGCTGTACTGGAGTAACTTGCATTATCCGGGAACTTTGATGCTGACCTTTGAGATCCCAACTGTTCTTTCTTCTTTCTTCTTCACCCATATGCCGTCACTTTCTGTACACCCCTTCCTCTTGTTCTCTGTGCTTCCTTGAACATGTCCACACTGAAGAATGAATGGCTTCCCCAGTTAGTGAGCAACATCACCACAGCAAACCACCCCTTCAGTGGACAAACTAGTGGGTGGAAAGCATGCGCAAAGGCACGTCTTCCTGGCAGAGGGAGTAAAGTGGCAAAGAAGCCACTGAGCCAGGAGACAGGAGACCTCCAAGAGAGAGACCTTAAGTGGTTGTGTGTGGGTTCATTGCTCTGTTGCTGGCTGACATCAGGCCCTTTGGGCTCAGAGATATCTGTTTCATTTTAAAGGGAAATCTCCAGGGATCTCATTAGCACCATCATGAAAGACACAAAAGGAACTGGAGGTTGGTGGAGGGGTGATGGTGAGGAGAGAAACAGGACAGAAGTGCTGTCAAGTTGCATTTAAACTGGCAGGGGAAGGAGCCTGGGAGCACTCTGGTCTGTTGGGACAGCCTTACTGCCTCCTTCTTCTGTCAGCAGGGTGAATGGCTGGGGTGAGGGGGGACAGTGTCCAGCAGCTGCCCAAAAGCTCAGCCTGAAGGACCTACTCACCCACCTGTGCTCCTGAGGCAGTTTTCCCCTGCCAAATCGCTCTTCCTTCTCCCTGTGCTCTCAGTCTTCCTAGGGTCTGTCCTCCTTCTCTCCCCAATCACTGGCTGGACACATTCATGCCTCTACAACTGGGAGCAGAAGACAAGGCACCCGTTGCTGTGTTTGCAGTGGTGGGAGGCACGTTGGCATTGTTAAATGGCCGCCCCACTCTACAAAGCTGAGGACTGGTTTGACACAGGATCTTGGCAGTCCTACACACTTTCAGTTGATTGCTCCTTGAAAGCTGTTTCCACTTTTCTGAAGACCCCATTGCAAGAAGGGGGTGAAGTAGTCTGTGAAAGAGCAGTTTAGTGGATCTGGAACATGGGTAGGTTCCACTCTATCAGTCTGAAAAAAGTCACAAAAGCACACAACAAAAGCAAAGTACCCACAAAAATAGGGCAAAAAAAAATCCAACTTAGTTAATGTGAAGCAACACATCTTAGTTATAACAGCAAACCAGATTAAGAAATTCAAACGGGCACAAGCTAGGCCCCCTGTGCTATTGCTCACCAGAAGTAATATTCATTATCACAATTTCTTCTATGTAGCATCATAAAATGCCAAACAGGACTGTGCTTCTTTCAAGTACAGCCTGTTCAAAGCAATTGGTGAGTCTTGCTTGGAACACCTGGCAAAGGAGTGAGATGGATTCATCTCGCCATGTCTTGAAGAAATCGAGGAGAGATATTTATCAAGGAAATGAGTAATTCAAACAGTTTGGTTTTCAGCAGACTTGGAAATATATACAGCAGGTTCCAGCACAGGTTTGTAAAAAATTTATTAGCAGTGAGTGGGAAAAGGAGTAATGAGTGTTATTCTCTGTGTTGCAGTCTTGTTTAACTTAATAAAAGTGATTGAACTATAAGATCCCAGTGACACACTTCCTAAAATGAAGTGTTCCTCCAGAAATGGAACTGTTCATTTCACAGTAGGAATGATTAGGTATTCTAAACTCTATCACGTTTTAGCTCCTAACACCAGATATCTGACAAGATTGCCAGACTCCCATGAACATTTAGCTTGTTTTGTTATCATTAAAAATCAATGGGGTTTTGGAGCCTAATTTATCCAGCTGAGCTCTGCTCTGTGTCTGTAAGCACCTAAAATATGAAAATCTGCCATAAAATAATTAAGTTTATTCTAAATTTTAATGAAGATCAAACCATAAAAGTTTGGAGAAGACAAAACTCAGAATTTTTCCAGAAGGTTTCTTTGATTCACAAAAGCTGTGAAACAAAGCAAAAACTACATCAAAACCATGGGCCTGGCAACTCTGGTAAGGACTACCACATAACTATCTTCTCCAACCCAAGTGTCTCCTTTAGAGCCCGATACATCATTCAAGAACAAAACATTTGAACAAAACTTTTATAATTACAGATGGTACAGCATAGGTTTAACGATTGACAACCCGTCCAAAGGAGGAAGCTCTGCCTCCTCCTGATTGACCACTTCAAAGGACTCCCACACGCTGAGCAGAGGGGCCTGAACTGCACCCTACGTGGCAGCAGCATCATTCCCACCAAGGCTTTGACAATGGGAACCCAGTCCTACATCCCTCGTGCAGCTATTTTCCTAAGGAAAATAGGATTCACTCCTGGTTTCCATAAGCACAAAGCAAAGGAGAATTAGGCCTGTCAAATTCATAGTGATGCATCAGACCCAGAGCACCTTAAATTCCCCAGGTAGAACTGACCAAAACCAGCTGCTGGGAATTAGTCCTTCAGGTCACCTCTTAATGTCATAGGGCAAGTGATAGTCACCAAAACCCAAGCTGGGCAACCAGTGCATTGGGCCAGTTCCTGCTGCAGCCAGTGGTGACCTTGCCAACTAAAACCAGAGGAAGAAAGTTCTGGGTATAAACAGCAGCAGAGCTCGTCAGAAGCAGCAAACCTTTGCTGTAACCAACCAACACCAGATGATCCCTACTGGAAAGCAACCACCTCCATGGTTCAAAGATCTCACAGAATATTTGCCCTCATCCATCAACACACCAGGAAAGTAATCACAAGGTCTTGTGCAGTGCCAACAGATATAACAACAGTGTACTCAAGCAATGCACACTGGCTTCCTCTCTGTGAAAGCTCTGGGCTCAGACCCCGTAGTAGCAGAAATCAGCAGGGACTAATGGGGAGGGAGAGAGCTGGAGAAAGGAGCATTGCCCCTAGAGAATCAACCAGGCTACCCACAGTCTTGGGCATGTTGATATGTGAGCTCTGCTTTCCCTGCTTACAGCAGGCAGCTACCAAGGCAGGTGGCACCTACTCTCCTGCTTCCCTCTGGATACCTCTGCAGAGCCCTCACTCATGAATCTATTTCAGGTTGCTCTTAAACCACCTCATATAGAGAGGAAAAAATCCCCAGTCTGCTCAGCTGATGCATTTGAAGTGTTAGAAACATCACTAAGGTGATAAAGCTTTTTTCTCTTTTTTTAATCCCTCCTGTTAAAAAAACAACCTGCTCAGAAGCAGCATTTCCTCTCTCTCTCATGCACAAACACACTTTTGCTGTTGAAAAAGTTCACTCTCATTGCAATCATGATCTGTGGGATCATATGTCTGTAGGTAAACACACACAGCTACCAGGTAGGTAAACACCCCCGTGGAGGCACAGGTGTTACAGTATCAGTCAGGTACAGAACAAAATCTTACGTTTCCTCTGTAGGTCTGGGGCATACCGTGCCAAGCTTGTTCCATCAGTCTGTTATAGTCAACAGGACTTGGACATCCAGGCTTACACAGGGGCTGAATTTGGGCTGGGCCAAAAGTACCCCAGCTACTCTTCAGCTGTGGTAGGGATCTAAAAATTTAAAAGCCTGGTAGGTATAAATCATCATGTTTGATGTCCCAACAACAGACACTGTATCACCTGTCACCCATCCCAATTAGTCAACACATCCCAAGCAGTTACATGGGGACCACAGATGTTCCTTATGCAGTGCTGCCCGGCAGAGACCAAGGTGGCAAGGTTTGCTCCAGATGAACCCCTCCATGGAACATGTGGTGTTGAAGGTGGTGCTAAGAGGGACAGTGTCTTCCCAAGAAAGTCACCTCTTTTTGGAGTGAAAGCAAAGCTCCAATGACAGAAATAAACCAGCATCTTGTTCACTTCTCATGTGACATGTCAGGGCTATGTTCTGTCCGTGTTTGTTTCAAGAGGAATTGAAGGACGTCATCTGAGAGTCCGGGTGTTCTCCTTCTGTCTTCCAACATGACTTTTCCTTCAGATGTCTTGGAAAAACAAGCAGTAGTGGGGTGGTTTGGAAAGATCTTATACCCATCTCTGTTTAAGACCACCTGGGCCATTTGCAGGCAACGTGAGGCATATTTTGTTCCATCCTGGTTTGCTAGCTCTGAAATCTTCTGTGACAGACATTGTGATGCAGCCTCGTAAGTGGGATCCATTCTGTCTGGCCGTTTTTTGCAATACTTTTTGTAGAAGCCATCAAGAGACTTCCTGATGCTAGTATCTTCTGCACTATCATGTTCATACATCCATGAGAGCACAGCATCATTAGGTTCAGGCGGCTCACACAGCCCTGCTTTCGGATAACATTTCACGTTTGCTTTCTCAGAGCCACCGGAAGAAAAGCTCGCAGGAACTGCAGAGGGTAGATTGCTCTCTCCTGCAAGCACAATATCAGTGAAACTCATTAGTCACCAGGTCATCCCTGTAACAAAATCTTTTTCTGTCCCCCACTCACTGTAGTCTGGCAAATGGGCTCTGTGCAGGAGTGAGCTAAGTACTGCTTTAAACTTGGCTGGACTGCCAGAAGGGCTTGTCTCATGGATTCATGTAAGATGGGCTGTATTTGGGGATCTCACAGTTGTCCCAGCCTTGACCCTCTGCAGTGACTGAACCTACTTGGTGGTACAGACCTCCTGGCTCCTCTCAGTCATACTTCCAAAGAGGTTGAAACAGGGATCTGCTGCTGCTGGAGATGACAGCTGACCCACAGGGAAGTCTAGTTTGCAGCTGAAGCAGTTTGGCCTCTGTTTCAGTTTTCTCCCTTCATCCCCAGGCCTAATCCTTCCCTTTTCATAGTTCTCAATTTTACTTCTACAGCACAATGTGCAGTCTTGTCCTCCAGCTTTCAGACAGATCTAGAGCCTCTAAACCAACACTGTTATGGTGACTGCACAGAATTTGGGAATGGGACCTGCAAAAGGGGACTTTGTGCTTCCCCACAAAGTCCCATTTTTGCAGCCCAGCTGCGCTAAACTCTCTCCCCACATCCTGCAGGAATTTTTACAGATAAAATTTATGTAAAGGCTGGCAATTCATTCTTGTCTAGCTCTTCTCCTCCCTCCTTGCCGACCCACATCCCTGGACAGCAGTCAGGGCTGCAGCTCTCTTCTGTTCCAATGCAATCAAGGGAGGTGCTTTGTACTTGCACATAATTAATATAGCATCAGCACAGAGACACTTGACAATGACATGACCAGGATGATCAGCAAGCCACACACAGCTTCTAGTAGGAAAAGCCTCCATAAAGAGACCTTGAATCAGGCTCTGGTACCCAGGGAGTGCCTCTAACTGCAATCCTATCTCCAAGCCCACCGTGCCAGCCTGTTTGCCAAGACGTGAGTCACCAACAAGAAAATTTTCCAGGGCTCAGCCAGAGGTTGCACAGCCGTCACCTGCAAATTACATAAGCAGGATGCAGGGAGTCAGAAGACAGCTTGGTCTTTTCTAATTCTGTGAAATATCAAGCTGAGTGCAGTCCTTCATTTTGGTAAGAGATCGTGTTCAAAGGAAATCTCATTGTAGTGGCAGAAGGCTCTTCTTTCCCTCCCAGTACCCAGAGAGCTACCCTTCCCTTTCTGAGTGGTCAGAGATTCATTAAAATGAAATTAAGATGTCTGTACAGCCATACTGTACATTGCCTCTTTCTTCCTCCCCCTATTTTCTATCTTTGATCTTTCTTTTCAATTTCACTTCATTTCAAATTCTGCTCTTCCTCCTCTTGCAATGTGTCATTTCCAATGCGGTACAAAGAAAAGCTTAGTGGCCCTCTTTTAACATTGATATACGCCATCAGAGCAGCAAATCAGAGCTAATCAAAGAGAACAGGTCCATTTTGCCTCAACAATCTCTCAGCCTTGGTGCCTATGTTAAGTTAGAACTGAAGCCTCATGCATCTCTGATAATTCAATCAAGTGGCACTTGCACTCAGACTCCTGTGGCAATTGCAAACCCCTGTGCCATGCTGTCATCTTGCTACTTCTTACGCACAGCTCACAGCCATATTTTGTATAAGAGCAGCAGCTGCCTCCAGCTACAGATCTGAACCCCTACATGATCCGGGAAGAGCAAAATCCTGTTGGTTTCATGGTGTCAGGGAAGACCTTTGCAACACTGTTCCATCTTTCTCCCATGATCTTAGATTGGATATGAGGAAAAACTTCTTCACTGAAAGGGTTATCAAGTAGTGGAACGGGCTGTCCAAGGAAGTGGTTGAGTCACCATCCCTGGAGGTATTTAAAAGACATGTAGATGTGGTACTTATGGACATGGCTTAGTGGTGGACTTGGCAGTGTTAGGTTTATGGTTGGACTTGATGATCTTAAAGTTCTTTTCCAACTTAAATGATTCTATTCTATTCCATTTCATTCCAAGCCAGTATGACCTATAAAGCAGCCATCCTCTGTTGAAGCACAATCCACCAGTGACCAGTAAGTATTTCAGGGGTATATTTTGGGGTTTGATTAGTCAGAAAGTACTCAATTATATTATTAAGAGAACAATTTTCTTTCAGTTACTGACTCAAATTTATGTATCTCTATTTTTCAACAGTAGGCTCTATCTTCTTAGTGGAATACTTTTCCAGCAAAGCCTTCTTAAGGCAAGACATGAAAAGTTAGATGCAGAATTCCCAGAACCAATCTATATCCCATGAGGTTGCACCTTTCCTCATCTTTCCTCACAATTTCCCTTCTCAAACTATGTGCAAAGACTGATCTTTCCAAATACACTCAACCCTTTTCCGCCCTAGAAGATATCAGTCGAGGTAGAGGTCCTTCCTCGACACCCTTTAAAGAGCAGATACTGCTGTTGCAACGCACAAATCTCTTGAATGATTTATAAACCACAGGGCACAAGACCAGTAGATGGACGCCTGCAGGGTCCAGAAAGAGCTTCTCAGCTGGGGCACACATACAGGACACAAGCACACCACGCAGGCCAGCAAACATGCTGCTAAAGGCAAAGGCAGCATTAAACTAATCAATCCCTTTCCCTCTCCATGCACCTACACCACTCAAGAAAGCCAGGATTCCCTAATAGCACACAGCAGTGTTGCTTCAAAGCTTAGATCTCTCTGGCCAGCTCTCAGCAGCAGGAAAAATGTAGTTTTGTAAACTCTTTATCGCTTCCACAGCAAACTTAACAACACAGCTATCACCCACCCTTGTGTTGGCTTGACCCAACACCTACAGAGGTCAAAGCAAAGACGAGCAGGGCTGAAAACTTGCACTCTGTTCGCCTGTAATGGAGTTTCATGACCAGAGGATCTGGTGCAAATTATTTTTAGGTATTTTCACTCATTTATACTACCAAGCACGTGTTAAATGGGGAAAAAAAAAAACAAAACCCAAACAAAAAAAAGCTCCAAAACTGAAACAGGTCATTACTCAAGTCTTGATTTCACTCTCACATGATGGATAATCATCTGCAAAAATGTGTATTATTTCATCTGTGCCTCCACTCCGTGCTAATTGAAGTTCAGCATTTGCAGTATATTAGTAAAAGACCTGGGGGCTGATAAAAGGATAGTCTTTGTGTTTATAAACCTGCTGATGAATATTTAAAGTCTCCATCTGGTACAGGTACATAACCCTACCACCCGAAGCACACAACCAAACCCTGCTTTGGACTTGGGCCACTTTCAGTGATGCAACAACTCTGCAATATTATTATTTGCACTTCTACAAAAGCAGCTCATGTAGCAATGTGAGTCTCCATATAACTGTGTTCAAGCACATACAGTCAGAGTGTAAAATGAGACATCCCTCAAACAGCAGAGCTCCTACACTGATGGCTTTCTGGGGGAAGAACCCCCCCCCCCAATTCAGGTGGGCAGTGATCCCTGCAGCTGCTGGTGCTTCACTAGAGCTGGTGTTGCTGTGATCTCTGCCTCTGTCCCTTGCAGGGGCTTAGCTGGATGCCAGCAGCTGCTAATTCTCTATTTACATGTGTAGCTGGATTAGTTCAACCCTCCTGCCCCCTCACACACCGACCAGCTGCCTCCTGGGAACCCTGCGTGTAGGACATGTGGTTCCCCTCCTGCCCAGTGCACAAATGTCCATCCATTATGAGGGCCTCTGAGTTTTATACTGTAGATCTGAGTAGGGGAGAGCTAAACCACAGTGTTTTGTCATCAGCAGTTCTGTGAAAAGGGCAATTACATTGTTTGTTTTAGGGTAGGAATCATTTGCCCTAGGGTTTAGGAATGACTCATCCCTAGCACAGATGGAGCTGGAGTCCAAGTCCACCAAAATGAATGTCAATCCCATACCCACCCCAGAGCTGCGCTGGTGCTCTCACGTGTTAAGACACTATTGGAGCAGCCACGTTCAACAAGGGCAGCAAGTCCCACCTCTAAATGGTTCAAGCCCTTGATCCCTTTCAGCCATTTCATTGACCACATACTGTGGGTAACTCGGAGCAAGGGCTGAATTTCTCTGTGTGCCTCTATTGTGCCACCCTAAACAAGGACCAAGAAAACTATGAGACTGAGAAAAGTGAATTATTTTTTTGAACAGAACTAAATTAATCTGGATATATACAAATTACCCCTATGTTCACAGTAGTGATTGAAGTTCAAACAGATGTTGGTTAGATAATGCTAGAGCACATCCCTATGTTGTAAGGTCAATGATAGGACTGTTACCCAGAGTACCTCAGAATGACAGAGAGTATTTAGGTACTCGACTCTGAGATGGTATACTGAGAAAACATGCGTCTGCTTCCTGGTACAGCCATCCAGCTGGCTGTGAAGGCCCAAAGAGACCATTAGAATCTTGTCTGAACAAATGTCCCTGAACAAAGATTACCAGAGAACTGAGCAACATAACAGTGGAAAGGAAAAACAAAGGAAAGGAAAGAGCTAGATGAGAGAAAACTCTTCCCTTGGGTGAGACTATCCCAAAAATCACCATTCCTTTATCTACCCTCCCTGGGAGTAGATGAGCATAACTGAGTACAGCTTTTTTTCAGAGCAGCTGAAGAGCAGAAGCAAGAGACTTGCTCTAGCTGGGGAGATAAACTCCAGTTATGGACTTCCATGTCAGAGCTCAAAATGCTGCAGCACCATGATTTTATGCCAAGTTCAAGACCTGCAAGAGACCACACATCCTGCCTCTTGGCACATAGAAGTTAATAATTGGTGCTCCCAAACTTCTCCTCAGACAGGAAGACAGAAGACCCTCCTCTGTTGGTCACAAAAGCAGCCACTTCTTGCCCTGGACACCCCACCTGCCCTGGACACCTGCACCTCAGGGTGCTCTTTCTACCCACGTGAGTCTTCTCCCCTCTGTGATTTGTTACAGTTAAAGTCAACACATTCTCGACATCCATGGGTAATGATGAGTCATACAAGAACACAAGTTACCAGTTGTTTTGGTT